GGCAGTGATCGCACATGCGATCAAGTGGTCGCAATTGCGGATGGTCAAGTTCGCATTTGCGAAGATAGCAGATGTGTGATGGTCTTCGCATTTGCGATTGATCCTTCGCATTTGCGGGGTTCGCATTTGCGAACCCCAGGTCGCAAGGGTTCGCAAATACGATATCTGCAACTGATCAAATATGACTTAGACGTGATTTTTGGTTCATTCTTCAAATTTTCAAACAAGAAAACCCTAGTGGCGATTTTTCAAAGAACTTTTCTTCCCCAAATCATTGGTAAGTGATTCGAAACTTGTTTCTTTCAATCTTCCACTATATTTCCTTAGATTTCAACCAAAAATCTTGTGTTTTCATGGTGGAAATTGGGGGTTTTGGGTTGAATTTGGGATTTTCCAAAAATGGGGATTTAGACCTCAAATTGAGGTCCGATACCAAGACAAATTACATAACCAGGCTCGGGGGTGAATGGTAATCGGATTTTGATCCTAATTTCGGGTTTGCACCAAGCGGGCCCGGGTGTTGACTTTTGCTGTCTTTTTCAATAATGACCTAAATTGAATTCTTTGCAATCGTGGATAGTTCCTAAGGCTTAATTTGAATCGTTTGGTTGGTAAATTGCTAGATTCTATTGGTTCGGAGGCTTGTATGAATGACAAAGCTGTGGTTGAGCTGTGAGTTTGGCCTTAGGAGCGAGGTAAGTATCGTGGTTAACCTTGACTTGAGGGAATAAGACTTATTTGTCTATTTGCTACGTGTTTAGATGTTGGGTACAACGTATATGTGAGGTGACGAGTACTTATGCGTTGTTGTCGGGTTTAAGCATGTGTGTGGGACTGATTTCTTGTAATTATTGCTTTTTTTTTATCATGTTATCCATGTTTAGACTAGTTATTGTTAAATTGATCGTTCTTATCATGTCTACAGATTTTTGGTGATAATTGAGTATTGATTTCAAAGTTGAGGTTGGTATTGTGGAACCAAATGTTGAAGTAAGACTTGTTCTTGTTATTCTATCTCCCTGTTGTTAATTGTTCATTGCTCTATGGTAAGGGAGAGTGTTAATGAACGAAGGGTGATGCCGTGCCATGTTGTGAGTGTTAATATACGAAGGATGATGTCGTGCCATATTGTGAGTATTAATGCACAAAGGGTGATGCCGTGCCATGTTATGAGAGTTAATGCACGAAGGGTGATGCTGTGCCATATCTATTGATTTATATTGTGAGGTTGAGAGTAAAAGCACGAAGGGTGATGCCGTGCAGTTTCATTGTTTCACTGTGAGGTTGAGAGTAAAAGCACGAAGGGTGAGGCCGTGCACTTTTCCTTACTCTATTTAATTATTTTCACTGGTCAAAGGAATATTGATTTTCTGGTTATCAATTCTGCTGAAATTTTCGTACCTTGTATCCCCTTTAGCATGTCCCCCTCCTGATATTACTTGTCCAGCTCGTATTTGTTATTATTTTGTACATATACTATTAATTGCATAGGTTTATTATGTAGGTGTCTTGTCATAGCCTCGTCACTACTTCGTCGAGGTTAGGCTCGACACTTACGAGTACATGGGTCGGTTGTACTCATACTACACTCTGCGCTTCTTGTGCAGATTTTGGTACCGGCCCTAGCTGATCGTGAGGTTAGCAGCTGGACTTGCTTGTCGGGGACCCAAGGTAGATCTGCTGGCGTCCGCAGACCCTGGAGTCCCTTCCTAGTTTCTTATTTATATTGTTTCCTCTCTTTTAGAAGAGTTGTATTTTCTTTCAGACTTTGTTTGTAGTAAATCTTAGAAGCTCTTGAATCGTGACACCATAGCCGAATTGTATTAGCTATTATGGGTTTTATGTTATTCCGCAAATTTGGTTTTAGCTTTTGTTTAGCTTAATTATTTTGTTGTTAAAATTGACTGAAGTTAACTTAAGAATCCCCTAACGTTGGCTTTCCTAGCAAGTGAATGCTAGGCGTCATCACGGTCCCGAAGGTGGGAATTTCGGGTCGTGACATAATTGTGTCTTTTTTATGAGTAGGATCATTGGAAGAGGAAAACGAGTGAAGGTTGCATACAAGGATGTCAAAAATACATGAAAAGAGCACGAAAAAACAAAAATTGGACAAGGCCAGGAACGAGGCGCCAGGCCTAGGGGTGTTCATCGGTCGGTACAGTACGGTAATTAGACATTTCGGTTCGGCATTTTCGGTATTCAGTTTCTTAAAATGCTATACCAATACCGTACCTAATTAAATTCGGTACGGTTCGGTTTTTCTCCTTTCGGTTTCGGTTTATTTGGTGCGGTAACTTCGGTTTATTCGGTTTTAATACTAACAGGTGCATAGAGTAATAGACTGTAATATTTTTAATTAAAGTACTCAAAAGTACAAAACTAAAAACGTTTGTTGACAAAAGTTTTGTCCAAAACAAGCAAATATCAACCGAGAGAGAGAAAACTATACATAAAGAAATAAATTTGATCATTAGAAATGTCTTGTTATTTGCTTAGAGTTAATTAATGAACTTAGAGAATAAAGAAAAGTAAAATTTCAGATTTTTTATATTTATGTTATAATTAATAACATGTGTATTGTGTAATATAATATATATTTCGGTACAATACCGGTAAATCGGTATTTCATTTTAAAATACAAAATACCATACCTAATACCAATTTTTTTAAAACTTAAACCAAATACCATAATATCAAATACTAAATTTTTTGATTTCGTTACGATAATTCGGTATTTACCAAATTATGCACAGCCCTAGCCAGGCCAGGTGAGGCAGAGCAGGCGTTTAGCCTCACGTCGCGAGCTTTGGATCGCGCCCCAGGCCGGTCCTCGCGAGCTCTATGGTCTGGATCCTTTCCCAGTCCGTGCATTAGACGTTTTCCACTCGGTTTTGGACTTGGAGACTCCGACCCTAGCCTATAAATACCCCGTAAACATGATTAGTGAGGGTTGGTTAATTTTCGAAGGCGGCAAAGGCCTAGAAACAAAAACGGAGCACGGAATTCGTCGAATCTTCCGTCTTTCATCTAGTGTTCATAGCTTCTATATTTAAAAACAATACTTTGATTGTTGCTAGGAACATGAGTGGCTAAGAACCTCATTATTTTGGGGTTATGGGTTGTTATTGACTATTGTTGTTTGACGGCTGATTATTTTGCTTGACTTATCATATTAATTTGTTTATTCAATCTTGCACTTAATTATTTTATTGCGTAGCTAACAGTAGAATACTATCTACGAATTTATAACTAAACTCGAAAATGGAAATTATAGATTGTATATAAGATTGAGTAGAGTAAGTTCTTGAATCCGGGCATCAGAGAATAGATTCGCGATTAGGATAGACATTCTAATTGTCTTACTTGGTTATTTTTGCAAGAAATATACATGCATTCTTGTTAATTCTGATTCTATAGACATATAGTATTAGGTTGGGTTGAATTGCTCAGGCGGTTATGAAGAAGATGATTGTGATTTTTATTACTAAATATTACTACGAAATTACGAAATATGCAAGAAATTCAAAGGTGCTAAGCAAACAAGCCAACACTTAGGAAGAATTCAATGAGATGGGAATATTTTAGGGTTATGGGACTAATGTCTCTCTTATTGCGTCCTTTCGGTTGATTTAATTACTTAATATATCTAATTTGTTGATTAACAAGGTTTATTACACTCGCGAAGTTCTTTTGGACGCTTCACTCTAAGTTATTCTAACTTCTGACCACAAGTGCTTTCTTTTTACTTTTTATTTCCGTAAAGGTCGAAGTCTGCCAACTACTCTCATCCAGTGACACACAGTCATTTTAGACAGCTTAACAAATGGTTTGGTTTTAATATGAAAGAGTATGGTAGGATGGAAGGGATATATCCCTCCATTCTTAAAAGACATTTCCGGCGGATGTGTGAAGCACAAAAGAAGAAAAAAAGGTTGTAGAAAATGGTTTTTGACTTTGTTTAACAAGGCTATAGGCCCTAGCTATATCAGTACCAGAGGTACATAAAAAAAGTCAACTTTGTTAAATAAATCAGGGATGGGTTAAGTATTAATAATGTGTCGAGCTACAAAAACAAGAGGCTTCTTGAATAATGGTCCTTTCACTTTCACCAGCTTGGAGGATTCAGATTGATATGTATTCTCATCACCTCCCCATCGCTGTTGGAGTTGCTTGATGGTATCATGTCATCTTACTTATCTCTTTAATTAGTTCGGGCTTATCATAATATCCTAGTTTAACTTAACGTCTTATCAACTCTTCAACCATATATCAAGGAATGAAGAATCATTTGGTAGAAAGCATTTAACCCCATAGTAAATTTATTAGGCACAAATTCGATTTAGTCAAGTTAGTAAATTTCAGTCGAAAAAAGAAGGTTAATAAATTTCAAATATTGAGTGCAAAAGAAAAAAACAAAAAAGCTTTTTCAACTAGACGTTTCCATGAATTGAATATATACCTCAAGTTGTGATGCACATAAAGAACATATACTTCATGTTATGTTGATACTCAAGAACTGAAAGCAATGACAGACCCAGAATCCTAAATTTGCTTTGATTTCCACAGAATATTCGAGGAACTATTAAATGTTAAATAATGGTTCACCAAGCCTACGTCCAGTTTCCCTTTTACAAGGCATTCCACTAAATCAACTTGTTTCTTTAAGAGGACAAGCAAAGAGTGATTTTACTTTTGCATGTAAATCGTGAATGTGTGATTTTGTCATTCAATCCACCAACGACTTCTATACTTTAGGAAGACTAGGACTTCCACTCGTACAATAAAGTGCAGTAAAAGTTTAACCCTTTATTATGGCGTAGAGTCTTTTGAGAAATATAGAAGATGAAGATCAGAAAGCTTGAGCTAGTAATTAATTGGAATTGAGTTATTTTTATTTAACGAACAAAATCGCCGTGCATCCGGCCGATCAAAAAAATAACCTAGGGAGGGGGGAGGGTTAAGTTATACTAATAGTCTATATATGAATGAAAAACTAACTATCAATTGGAACATCATAGAATTTAACAATTCAAGACACCAAAGAAGCAATAGCCCTTTGGTAAAATCATGTCATTTTACATGTTTATGGATTTATTCATAGTATTCATCAGAATATTACTTCCAATTAATGGCTGAGACTCAGAAATTAGTTGACAAAAGTTAAAACTTCACGAGAGGTACAATGAACAAGATAAAGCACTTTGCTACAATAGGATTATAAAGCGCAATACCCAAAAGTTCCCAACTAAGTGACCCATACTTTGGAACTTTGTTCCTTCAAAATGTACTGCCTATGGCCCTGTCTCCAACTAGATGGAGAGAGTGGAAGGTAGCAGGTACTCAGAGTCGCGAGTTGCATATAAGCTGCTGCCCGGACACCACCATAATCAAATCAAACAAAGGACATGTAACTATATATTACGTAAACTCAAGAACTTAAAAAGACCAGAAACCAAAGCCCTGATCTTCAACTGGATATCCAAAGCAGCTCAAATTTGAGGATGTCATGGGATAATGATCATGTACAACCTTCGCAACCAGATTCTTGCTCAAGTTTTCTTCTTCATCTTGAGATAAATCTGACTGGTCAGGTTCAAATGCATAAGAAGAATCACCCTGATCTAAGATAGAGGATTGCACCAGGTTTTCTGAATCAAACACATCACTTTTAACAGAATTCAAGTCTTTGTGCTGCTTAAGGGCAATAGCTGACAGTGTGGACATTTCATCCTCCAAAACTGGATCAATCATGTTTTCTTTTGGCGATGCATCGGAAAGTTCCTTTATATCAGAAGTAGCCAGTTCCCCCTTTTCTTTCTCCTTGTGTAGCAGCATATCAGTAAACTGGATAACCTGCGCAAAGATTGAATTCTCACATAAACATTGTCCACTAACTCAAAAATGAAACTTTACTATGACACAAAATCAAAAGGAGCTTGTGATTTCAGAATGTTATAAAGGTCATAACCTGAGCTCTTAGATCATCCTTCTCTTTGACAAGATTGATATAGTCTGCTTTCAGATTGTCATATTTATTTCTCAGCGCCTCATAATCATTCTCGAGCTGTTTTGTCCTCCATCGTGCACGACGATTCTGAAACCAAATCGCTATTTGGCGAGGTTGCAAACCGAGCTCTTTAGCAAGCTGGTCTTTTCTCTCTGGTTCCAGTTTGTTCTCCACCTCAAAACTCTTCTCAAGAAACTGTACTTGGTCAGCTGTAAGTCGCCTCTTTTTCTCCGGTTGATGTAAATATTCCTCCAACTCATCTGTTTCATTCTCTTCGACTGACTGAAAGAATGACCTATCTGATATGTTCCCTCCGTTTACACCACCAAAGCTGACCATGGAACCGGAGGCTGAAAGATTATAAAGTGACAAGAGAACAATTAGCAGAATATCAATCGACAAAATTCAATTCCAAATCCAAATTCCTTTTCATTTCAGTCGTTCACTGCACTAAATAAAAGTTCAATCATTTCCATCATTCACAATCTATGTATATACAAGTTCAATTTCATCATTCACATCTATTATCAAATAAAAGCTACCCCAACAGAATGATCCTATTCTATATAACACACCGAAAAAAATCACAAACTGATTAAAAGAATCAAGATCTGATCAGATTTATATCAAAGTTTAAATATACCAAATACAAAGATAGCATTATTCAACATATAACACAACGGGGTGGGAGTTGGAATTAATCCAAATATCATCGAGCACCAGAGGCGACTCCAGCATCTAGAGTCAGTGAGTTCTTGATCTTACTAGGTATAAGTTTAAACCTTTTTTCAAATCTATACGTAGTATTATGTATATGTAAACATAGTTGGATTGAACCCATGAACCTGCCCAAGATCTGCTTCTAAATTCATAGATGTTGTAACTTTTTAAAACGCTAATTACAGAATAAAATAATAAGGGTCAACGTAGATAAACAAAAGAGGAGAATTATGTACCAAGGAAAGAAGCAGGAGAACCAACAGCCTCTTTTGTAGCAAATGAAGACATAAGCCTCTGGTTCTGAAGCAGAATACCATTAAAACCAGCGGCATCGCCGTAGAACAATTCTGGACCAGCCATAGCTGCAGAATCGCTGTATTAAAGAACCTGATCAAGAAACCGCCATAAAGAGTTGTGATCAAGAACCGAAGATGGGCCTGATCTTGTGTATCTTTTTTCTTTGTTAAAGACTACTTTTGTGGTAGTTGTATATGGAAACACTTGTGACTTAGAGCTTGTGGCGAAAGAAGCTGGTGATAATAATTTCAGTGATGTGGGAAGTGTGAGAGCACCTGCTTCTGATCACCACCACCATCATCTACCCGGAATATGAATATAGACAATACACAGAGACTCTAGATTGAGTTTGAGTTTTGACAAAGATATTAGGAAGAGTGAAGGAGTTGGAGCAGAGAAGAAATGTGAAGATGGTTGTTTGGATGACAAGAGAGAGAGAGGAATGTGTAGGGCACTAAGTTTAGTGATTAATTAAACTTGGGAAAGTGGAAGGTTTCTTTCATTAGGGGAACTTATAACATGGTGGACAAAGCCAAATAAAAAGTACTCCCTCTTTGACAAAAAAAAAAAAAAAAAATAGTACTCCCTCTTTGACAAATAAATCTCCGTTTCAATTTAGATGACACGTTTTCCTTATTAGTTCGTTCAAAAAAGAATAATACAATCTTTAAACTTTTTATTTTACCTATTTTATTTTTAATGAGAAGTTTTTATAACCACACAAATATCATGGCCCCATAAAACTTTTACCCCTTAAACTTTTAAACTACGAATTTTAAAAGTCTTTTTTTCTTAAAACCCGTGTCGAACCAAACTAGTACAACTAAATTAAAACGGAAAAAGTAGTAGTTGAGCTCCAAGATTCTTGGATCTACTTAGTGGGAACATCCGGGTTTATTTACCATGATGGCCCTTGAAATATAGTAATCATTTTTATTATTTATCAATTTATGAAAAGGAAATAGGAAATGAGATTGAAGAGAAGAAAATAAATATAATAGGATTATGAAATTCAGAATGCCTATATGACAAGTAAAAGTAGTAGGTTCTCAATTTTTTTTTCATATACCAAATGTGGAACTTTGTCCGCATATTCAATAATCTTTTTCTCTCGAACTAAGTTCTACGTGGCCCCAATACCACGATTCACTGGTCTACCCCTCGAACTAAATTTCACGTGGCCCATTAACATGATTCATGGGTCAAATTACGAGATTCACCGTGTGCTACCTACATTATTGGAGCATTTAGAGCAACTGAAACTCGCAACTAGCTTCTTTTTGTGTGCGCATCTCCAACCTTGTAAGGGTAAGCAAATCAAGCACTGTATCATCACTCTTGCCATCACCATGCTTATTCAGTTGAACCTGAACTTTCATACTAGATGTTGAGCTCAATTAGCCTAGTTTTTACCTTTTCTGTTGTCAATCAATACAAAGGAAAAATAAAAGCTTTTCCTTAATATTATTTTCCTCCTAATATGCACATTTCATAAAATTGTGTCGTTGGACTCTGTCTCATACTATCATTTTCCAAAACTTCTACTTTTCATATATCACAATGATATTTAGAAATTTTGCTTGGATAAAGATAAAGGTTTGTTTACCTCAAAAATACGAGTAATAATAAATTTGATTTATGGTTTTAAACATATGTGATTTAATTCAATACCAATTAATAATCAAGAAATATGAAGTAGAAATGAAAGATAGAAGTGAATCAAACCAATGTTACTTAGCAGCGGTGACCTCGAGACAGTGACCTCGAGGTGGCTTAGGGCAGTAAGAACAATTAAGTAGGAAAATCAAAGTAAGGACAATTAAGCTAAGGGACAATTCTGATGAACAACAGGCAAAAAATAGAGAGTATATTCTTTGCTCAGTAAAAGGTGGTCTTACAAATGATTGGGATCCCCCTTATATAATGGGGGAACCCTAAATAAGGAATATTTCCATTTACAGTAGGGAATATTCTTGGTACAGCTATCTAACCGCCTAGTACGGAATTGTACAATCCTATTCCGTGATTTGTGCCATGATTTTGGGGACGTGGCAGGAATCTAGCTCGTTCTGGTACAAATCCATAACGGTACTATTTCGGGGTAGAACACGCCCGACCTCGGTATGCATCACGCTTCGCCTTCGAACTCGGGTCTGGTCCCTCGAGCTTGACCTGGCCTTACCCGGACCCGGACATCAGACGACCTCTCAAGTATATAGATCGAAGGCCTTCGATCTTGACCGCATACAGATAGTCCCCACATTTCTTAGAGTAAGATGATAAGAAACGTTTTTGATCCTCGTTTTCCCGAAGTCTTTAGTGATGACGTCATTTCTGTGATGCAGGCATTCGAAGTGACCGAAACGTCCCGTCGGTCCACTTCACCAAAACATTGAATGCACGCCAGTATTGGTCGGCCACTAGCGTCGCCGACCCGTCGTTGCCCTTCTATTAATATGAGGCGATTCCTCTGAGTAAAGAACTTTACTCTTTCTTTACATCTTACGTATCTTCATCTCTTTCTCTAATCACCCGTTTTCACTGCCTCTTTAAGCGCCAGAAAACACCAAGCTCTTGTAAGAAGCACCACATCCCTGTGCAACCCGTATTCTTTAGCTTACAGTCATGGCTAAAACTTCCAAAACGGTCCCAAAAAAGGATAAAGCGTCATCTTCTTCTACTTTTCGGTCGCTAAACCGGTGGTGCCGCCTACTCTTGAGGTGACCTCGAGGTGGCTTAGGGCAATAAGAACAATTAAGTAGGAAAATTAAAGTAAGAACAATTAAGCTAAGAGACAATTCTGATGAACAACATGCAAAAAGTAGAGAGTATATTCTTTGCTCAGTAAAAGGTGGTCTTACAAATGATTGAGATCCCCTTTATATAATGGGGGAACCCTAAATAAGGAATATTTCCATTTACAGTAGGGAATATTCTTGGTACAGCTGTCTAATCGCCTAGTACGGAATTGTACAATCCTATTCCATGATTTGTGCCATGATTTTGGGCACATGGCAGGAACCTAGCTCGTTCTGGTACAAATCCATAACAGTGCTATTTCGGGGTAGAACACGCCCGACCTCGGTATGCATCATGCTTCGCCTTCGAACTCGGGTCTGGTCCCTCGAGCTCGAACCTGGCCTTACCCGGACTCGGACATCGGATGACCTATCAAGTATATAGATCGAAGGCATTCGATCTCGACCGTATACAAAGTTGTTAAAAAATTAACTGATTTTAGAACTCATACTATATCATTATATATCGTCAACTTTTCTCTTTTGTGCAAACATGAAATTTAACTTATAAGTCCTTGCGTTTTCACGTCAACTCCATGAGGTCTCAAAATTATAGTGTGTATATGGTGAAAATAACAGTTTTTTTTTAAAAGTTCAAGCAATAGGTTTTCTTCCACGTTTTCGAATAGGGATTCTGATTCATATTCCGTCCAAAATGGGCATTATCTTCTTATTCTTTTTTTTTTTCCCGAGAATTTTTATATTTTTAACCTATCCTTATATAAACGAAGTTTTCTCTTTATAAGAATAAGATTCTAACTAAGATGATTATCCCAATGAATGTCGTACTTCAAATGGCATATTTCATTGTTCGTCATGATGCGCATGTGCGTTTGGCATCAAGAAACATGGTTCAATTTGAAAAATTATTGAAAAACAGTTTAAGACATTTACAGAAAAATAATGAGTCCCATCTTAAGTGAATAATTAAGTCATTTTCTCCATCTTCATAAAAGATCAATATTCATATTCCAATGTAACAAATACAGGAAGCTATTTTTCTCAAAGAAAACTTTTTTCATCATCCAAATACCGTTAGGTCCTTCAAACTTTTAAAGTTAATTTTTTGGTACATCAAATTTTAAATTAGTGGGTGCAAAGGAATGTCTTATCCATTACTCTTTGTTACGTTGGAACAAATTTGATACACACACACACAATATATATATATATATATATATATATATATATATATATATATATATATATATATATATATATATATATCTTCCTCTTTTTGGTACTTTTCTAATGCTTACAAGTAAAGTTTCAGATGCAGACAATAGATTCATCCCCAAGGATATGAAAACTATAAATATGCAATTTAATCCTATCATGTGTAACATCCGTGAACAATAATTTATTAAATAATATTCATTGATCTAGATTTCTTGGTTAGGTACCATTTTTTTCGATTTCTTCCTTGTAGCTGTTACCTGAATTCGTACAAGTGTCTTCATACCCTATATACTTACTTGACGAGGATCGACTTCTCTATTTCCTTTATAAATTAAAAGAGAAAAATAAGATTTCTTCCATTTACTTCTTTTGCTTTTACAAAAATAAGATTTCTTCCTCTTCTTAATTACGAAAAATATCGGAAGATGCTCGAAAGTCCTAGAGAATGGAAATTTAAAAGTCCACCCGAACTCAAAACAAATAAAGAAATCACAGAAGGAGAGGATAGGAAGAGTTGCAGATGACAACGAGGCAAAGCAAAGATAAAAACAAATTAACGGTGCCAATCAAGTCCCAATCAATCGTTCTCTGTGGCATGGGGGCTGACGTAGATGTGGCGTTCTCCGAGTCCGGAACCAAAATGTGGTTCTTTTGGACTTAAACTACACAAATAGGTGTAAAAAAAAAAGTTATCATACTATATATAACGCCAGAAAACCTGGCGCTATACATTAACGGTAACTGCACCGTTAATGTATAGCGCCAGATTTTCTGGCGTTGTACAAAAAAAATCTGACACAGCTGATATAGTGCCATAAAAAGTGACCCTATATGTATATACTCTTTTTTTTTTTGGTAATTATTACACATCATTTAACTACAATCATTTAGTTATTGCTCTACTATTTATGAATATTCATTTAATAAGTTTTCTAATATTTAATAATAGTCATTAATGATTTTCCTAATATTTAGAACTTTGAAATCAATTAAAACTTTATATGTTAGTAAAATTTTCCTTATCTTAATTATGTAGATTATTTTCACCCCAACTANTGCATATTGATATCATTGCTTGAGGAAAAGTGAGGATAAAACACGAATGGTGTCACGACCCAATTCTCACTGTAGACCATGATGGTGCCCAACATCACCGCTTGGCAAGCCAACGGTGAACTATCCATGTAATTGTTCATTGGAAAATTTTAAAAGTAATTGATTTTATTTAATAAGAGAACTATTAGCATGAAATTATAGTAAAGTAAAACATAAAATACCAAAAGAGTAATATAGTGAATTTGATACTCAAAACCATAAATGTTCACTAGAATATTCCAAAAACCGATTTCACAAGTGCATGAGCAAACCAGTAGAATATATAAAACCTCCTATACTATTGTCTGGAGTAAGATAGACAGAAAATAAATACTTAAAAAGAGACTTCGGGCGTTGCAGAACGGGCATAGAGAGCAGCTCACTACTAAACCTTGGGGTAATGGGGGTACGCGCCTGAATGGC